AACGTTTTCTGAAATTGTTTTTCTACGAAAAATACTTAATGAAACATGAAATCAAAAGTTAGGTTCAACCCATACACGTTTGCATATTTAACACCTAAATATCTATAGAATTTTCCAAATTGAGAGCATTAAATAACAACGAAATTGAAAAGGATTCCGATAGATCCTTTCGGAAAATGACCCTCTATCAAACTTTTTGAAACGTTGGATTCTAGTAGTTCTCGACGAGATCTATACGTTCCAAAGTTCCAACAAGTTTGGCAGAGGGTCATTTTCCGTAAGGATCTATCAGGGTCCTTTCGGTGAAACAAATTTTATTTACGCTTGTTATATAAGTAATTATCTTAACTTTTCTTTGTTTAGTTTTTATTTAGATGTCCTTATTAAAAGTTGATTAGCCAAAAAGAAAACTCCAAATTGCTTTGTAATTAAAGCAATACATGTATTCAATCAACCGGATCTGATTATAGAGCTTTCGTGCATTTTTTATTAAGCCTTTCCGTGATGAGTCCATCGTTTACAAGCATACGTATAAGTTGAACATATTCAATTTCCATTTCCCTACCTACTTCCTTTAAAGTGTGAGAAATTCAGTAGTTACACGGTAAAAGTATTTCGCATTTGACCGCTCAATGATTTATGTTTTTCTCAGTTATGAACCTCCTTAAAAATTCGATCTAATCATCAACTTCACCAAGATAAGGAGAGATCTCCAGTTATGTTCATCATAAGGTCGCCAGTTCTAAGACTGGTTGGACGTGTATCTCCGCTCTTTCCTATTCTGAGCTAATCTTCGCATTTCCCTAAAACTAGAACAACCCACATCCTTAACTATTTGCGAACAGTAATCTAATCTAGATATACCTCTACCCCTCTTAACTCCTGTTTCTGCCTCTAATATGTCTCTTACAAACTAGATATTGAGCTTCCACAAAGGTCAGGGATTTCACAAAATGGTAAAGACTTTCGCTGTCAGTAGGTGAACTGATTCGGATCTAAAGGCCGCCGTTGGTTAGAGTTGCTTCCTAACGATCACATCCAGCATCGGAGATGAAAGAAACTCTGAATAAGTCACCACTCGTGCTAGCTGAACGTTAGGAATCAACTCAAACCGACGACCAGAACACCATCAGTCAGGGATTTCCATTTTCCGTAAGGAAATTCGTTTCATACCTAATTCTAAAAAAAAAATATGTATATGATATTGCAGTCAGGTGTAAATTTGGCGTTCTCTTGACTATTTTGAAAACGTGGTGTTCAATAACATCGACTGTGAAACAATCTCATTAAAGGAAAAACCACATCGTATTGTTTGACCGGTTCAGTTGGCAATCAGTGTGTCCGCGTTCATTTGTTCAATCAAGACTTATTCTTTCGTTATGTAAATAAACAGCAAGAGGAGAAGACCATAGAATAATCCATCGTTAATGGTCGTCGGTGGTGCTAAGTCTCGGTTTTATTTAGTCCTGCCGTCGTCGGCGGTGTGTGTTTCTCTTTCGGTTCGGACGCATACTGCCGTCGCCAATATTTATATAACCTGACAATGGCAGCCTTCTGTTTTACAACAAAGATAGTGCGGAATCACGATTCTTTGTCACTGGCTGAATAGCCGCTTATGGCGCGTCGATCCATTGTTATGCCCGTTCGGGATAAAAAGTGACCACGGCTTGTCTCACCACCGCCGAGCTGTCCCAATTCACTCGATTCGATCGATTTCAGAAACAACGAGGAACGTAGACTCATTGTCACTAAAACTATCTAACAACGTCCCTCTTCTGCTTTATTAACATTCTTTTAACACTACGTTTCGTTACAATCAAATACCGTAGGAAATTAGGCACAAAATGACCTCTGGTGAAAGAAAATACTTTTCCAACGAATTTCTCTTGATCCGTCGTTAACGAGCCGTCAATGATTGAGAGCAGTAAGCAGTTTGGTAGCCGCGTTATCTTATCGACCTTCATTATCGTAAGCGTCAAGTGATGAAACACTCATACCTACTTGTAACCTTCGCAACAGCTGGTACACAGACAAGTGTGACGGTTAGTAGTAGCTTGCACTCCGTTGTTTCTATTCGATTGACAATGTTACTGTTATTACCACAAAATACAAAAATAAGTTAAGTATGAAAATATTCAACAAAAAAACAATGTATTCGCACTCAGAATATGCAGACATGGTGGTCATATACGGACGGTGCAATAAGAATGCGCTGACAGCATCACGCGAATACGCGCCATCATTGTCGGAGCAGTTGGGGCTTTCGGAAAGGTCATTACCCTCATATTTATGTATATTACTGAGTGGTGCGAGATGGCTCATTTTATATTTTTTTTCGTGTACCTTTTTTTCCCTAAATTTTTCCGGAGTACTAATCAGACATACTGTATATTTAAAGGCTTTAATACATGTATGTATGTTCAAGATCCACGCAGAATTCTTACATCTGTGATTGCATTTATCATTCATTCAATACAAGTATCAATATCAACCCTTCATGTCATGTAATGGCTCAAGACTGTTGGTTCTCCTACTCTTTCTAATACTTCCTCATTTCTGATCTTTTCTATCCACGTCCTACAACACCACATGTACCAAACGTTTCAACATTTTCTAAATCAACTGTGCGCATTACCAGAAATGATTTCTTTTTATTGAGAGTTGACTTATCTAAGTATCAAAAATCAAGGCATAAATTTTTTATGTGTTGTCTACCATGAAACAATTTTTTAAACAAATTGGATCCTCCAAGGACCATTAAACAATTTCTTCTTTATAGATCTTCGGCATGATAGCGCATAATATTTTGTCCAAATTTGAGTATGGTATGTAATCGTAAAATAATCAGCAATATTTCTTGAACAAATAGTTGTAAACAAACCAATAATTCACCGGTTACAAGTCTGCCTGAAAATCTCCAATTAAATCTTATAAATCCATAGAGATAAATATCAGACGAAAAACAAGCAGTAATTATCCAAATAAAGCAAGATATTCCCGACCATAATTTACTACGTTGGTTGCATATGTAATTAAATAGATTCACATAAATACATTTATACACACATTAATTGCTTGTCTCTCGCTCAGACCTTTTACTTATTGCTTTTGGTGAAATATCCCATGTTAGAACTGCTAATTAGTCGCTGCTAAATGTGGCTTCCAATTCGCTCATCTCATTTCCAATGTAAGATATTATCTACCTATTAAAATTTGTGTGTTGTTCGGTGATACTACTGCGTAACATCACAATAAAATCCCAAATTTAGAGCAAAACTTGACGAGGTCGTAAAGATTTGTTTGTGAATAAACGGAAATTGCAAATTAGAGCAATTTTTAAATAAAGACCTACGTCCTACATTCATGGACGTATCTCCTTAATTTTAATAGGCTCTAATAGCCCTTAATGTTATTGTTGTGAGTCTCTGGCGCCATAAATATACCGGAGGGAATTATACGAGGTCTATATTGCAGTGAAGTTCCAACAGATTGTAAATGAAAACTTTCTTTATATCACTGTTGGAATTAGAAATCCCATATCCTTTATTATACCTAAATGTGCAGTTAAACCAAGAAATTTCCAAAAGATCAAGTCTGTAAAATTTTCGATTATTTTTCTTATGCCTATTGGTGCATAAGGTAATGGTTAGTTTTGTAGAGGTACCGCATCTAATACCTGCACCATATATACCAATAATTGAACCAAATTCCAGGAATATTGGCTAGTCTAGTTTGTACGTAAAACTTAACAAAAGGGTGACGCGGTGATGTCGGTATGTCCTTTTTTTTAATTATTTTAAATGCCTTAACTAACCATGGCATACAATGGTACCCCTCAATTCAATCGAATGCTTCAATTAGTTGCTTTATATTAGAGTATCAATTTTATGGACACCAGTATTTTTTTATTTGCGAATTTCTTCTTCTCAAAAAGATGTTAATGAATCCCATATATTCCAACTTTTGAGTATGTATATGAGTATTTAAGTTTTATGGTACATTTGCAAGTTCGTAAATAAACTTTGTACGTCATGGATAGGTCCCATCTCATCTCTGGAAACATAAATATTGTGGCAACCGGAGTAGAGTCACTTACGGTTGTCCTGCACGAACTTGTAAATTGATATACACGCGAAAAGAAGAGACAGTCGGCGGTAGAAACGGGTTAGAGAGAAGGAGACGGATACACGAAGGGTACAATCGAGCCGTAATACGAACCGGAAACCTTACAAACGCCGCGTATCTCCTGCACTCGTATTATGACACAATGAGGTGCATTTCTGTGGCTCGTTTAACTGAAAAATCGAATTCGAACCAATTCTCTGACGACTTCTGATCTCGTAAAACGTTTATCGTTCAATTCATGATAATTTAAGAAGTTTCTGCATGTAATACAAGTAGATGGTGCACGTGATTTATTCTCAAAATACTATTCAAAAACCAAACAGGACTAATTTTCAGCATGATACGGTCATTAACCGTCTTAACACTGTGATAATAATTTATAACAGGATCATGTTTGTTAATTAATGCTGTTAAGTAGATGTAGTAACTTTAAAAATAGTCAAACTTTTATGGCTTTCTTCTTAGAAAAGTCAATGACAAATCCTTACTATAGTAAAGTTCTTGAAAGTACATACTTATCATTAATGAGATAATTAAATTGTAGCATTTTTTTTATTTTCTTCACAAAATAATCTAATAAATTACATCTTTACAGTAATTAAAAAGAAGACTGGAACGTAATTCTTTTTCCCTTGTAGACTTGTATTTAAAATTATGTTGAATTATTTCAGTTATATTGTTAATCATCAATTGTTTACTAAGATAGGTCTAGCTGAATCATGTTACGTATTTGATGCCTACAACCTCTAATTGGCATATCCTCTGGACCACTTTGTATTTACTTAAATATTGAATGACATAAATTTACAATTTCACTATAGAAGTCTGTAATGTGTTCTTTCTCTGTTCGTTTCAGGTAAGAATCCAAATCTCCCCATTACTTTTTTGACATGAACTGCTTTGGATGTTACGTAAGTAAGTAATTCTACTAATATAATACGCGCAAACCTTGAAATTTGCGATAAATTTAAGAAAAACCGTGGAGACTTCAACGTGCGGTCAAGACAGAAACCCAAGATTTTACGTAGAAACAGTCCAATTAAAGTGGCTATAACTTTTGTTTGCCGTTCATGTTGTGTAAATGTAAGAAGCTTAACAATAAATTCTCTATTTAAGGCCATTAATAACTGCTTTCTAGAAACATATATACTAATGCGAATACGCAAATAATAATTGTTTATTTGTCGCGACTGCACACTATTTTAAATCTCGCATTCCGTCAACTCTAATAATAATTAAATTAGTATTTACATTTGTATATTTATTGTTATTTATTCTCCCACAGGGAGCATATTTCTTATTGTAAATACAATTATAGTTAATACGTGAACAAGAAAACAAAACAGCAGTGTGGTAATTACTTTTGTTAAGAGTTATGTGATAAGGGTCTGATTCTGATAAATTCTCATTAACCTTTATTACGTTTTCGCCAAAATATCCGTATCTATACAAAAAATACAATTCGATTTGGTCATGTTCCACTGCACGGGTGTACATTTATGACTTAATAAATCATTGAATCATTTGTATAAAGTTACATTACTACCAGAATTAATTGTAATTTTCACAGGATAAGACAATTCTAATAACGAATTCATTTCAATATCTCTTAAAGGACTTTTGGCCTATAATCTTAATGATTGAGATCTAAACTACAGTCAAAATCTGTTATAACGACAGCGAAGGGACTACTCATATTTGGTCGTAAAAACCGATAGTCGTGTTGTATACTTCTGACACCAAACAGTTTTTTATACGTGTATGTTGACACGAATAAATTCAAATCAAGATGAAGGAAGAATCAACTGTAATTCTTTATTAACTAATTCTAAATTATACCACAAGATTAAACGGACAGAGATTCTGGCGATAGCAAAAATGACTGGCTGACTGACTTTAATTTTACTAAGTTACTAACTTTCTAACTAACTACTATAACTGATAAGACGGAGGTTTTATACCGGTTTTAGTTTACCATTCTCTAGACGTCATGATCAAAAGTCTCTAAATTTCACTAATTATCAAAAGTTAAATATTACAAGAAATATCGAAGTTACACATTATTTCTTAAATGAATATAAACAAGAAGAATAAATGTTGTTGTCTCTAACGGAAATCGATGTTTGCTTATGTTTACTTAATTTTAGCTTAATATTTAATATTCCCAAGATAATGATTATTAAAGTTGCTATACAGGGTGAACACAAATTGAGTTGGTATCTAACAGTCGTAATAGCCGGTGACGTTGTTATTCATATATAAAATAAAACTACATTTTATTTATTTTACATAAAACTTATTATAAAAAGACATTACGTACATATAATTATCATTTTTCTATATTAATAAAATCTGAAATTTTAGTCTGTTTGGAAAACTTCTGTCGTGCGTACAGATTTTGTAGTTCACGTTTAATTTTAATTAATGTATCATTATAATTTCGCTGCATATGAAACTGTATATTAGAATAAAAAACAATTTTTCGTAATACACTGACAGAAGTAAGACCATCATTCAAAGTTGGCAATATAAATTGTTTTTCAGTCTCTTCCTGTTCGTGATTTTCCTTTTCTTCTTGTAAAATATCATCTTCCGTAGGTGGTGCACAAATTGCAATAGAGTTATCTGCATCAATAAACTCCTTAGTTTCAGTAGCAGATATTCTGAGTATTACAATAGACCCTAAACTCGACACGTTTTTGTTTACTTTTGCGATCTTACTGTACTAAATGTGGATACTGTTACCTATTCAAATTTTTACAATACAGCTGGTCGTTCTAACAGATATAATTCTCCGAAAATATCAGTCAAATGTAGTCGCTTAAAGAGATATGTCGTAATAAGCAATGTCGTAAAAACCAGTTATAAGATCTAATAGAATTAAGCCGGGACCTATGATTTTGGTCAATATAACCGGTATGTTGTTCTAAACGGTGTTGTAGTAAACGGTTTTGACTGTGTAAGAAAATATCGTCCAAACTAGCCTACTGTAATTCTGTTGAACAATTTTAAAATCTTACAATTTAGAAACCTAGAACGTTAGAACTTATTATTTACAACAATTTACATGTAATTATTCTAACGCGCTAGCCAACATTACAGTTTAGATTTTCATTTATATCTCGTGCCTTTCCCTGTTATATTTAGAAACCCACCATGCCATTGTTCTGTACTGTGCCAGGCACTCCATAGTATTTCCGTTTTCAAGCTGTACAGCATACAGTTCATCGTCCACTAGTTTTTTTTTCTAGCCCTTTAAACCAAAGCTATAATAGAAATGTTTCGATAAAATTGCTTCCGCTATTTTTCTCATTTCACGTCGTATTTTAATCGTGAAGTAACGACTGCGGCCGGGCCGATCCTGTGCCTCATGGTAGATGTGTGTGGGCCCGGGATCTGCAGGATCCGTCTTCGGATCCCACAGCCATTGATCACTCTTCATCGTGGCAACCGGTTCTTCTTCTTTCGTCTGCTCCGGCGTACACGATGCGGCCTACAGTGCCCCGTGTAACATACGAAACTTATTTTTCGAGTTACAGCAAAGAAGATCGCCCATCAAGTCTGCGAACGCGTGTACGTGTTTGTGTGTGTGTGCGTGTATATTCTCCGAATTAAACGTGTAATCTTCGACTCGTCCTTTATAATAAACGAGCTGACAAAGATTATCGCATGGGACAACTCGTTTTGTCATTATTCATTCACTACTTATGAACTGCATCGTTTTATCTTCATTTTCTTTTCTCTATATCTTCATCCGATACGTATCTAAAATTTCTTTCCTAGAAACAATCAGGATCGTCGTTATAATTACAAGTACAACTTTTTTTGGCTATTATTTGGCTTAAGTTTAATATTCACACAATGCATTCGATATTTTGGCCGCTAATCTTCAGTCTACAAACTCTGTAACTGTTTTGGTTATTTTTTTGTGCACATTTTTAGTCATTAAACTTTAAAATGAGTCTAATAAGAATACTTCTTAAACGTGAACGTGAACAGTTTTTACGAACACCAACACGGGTTTTCCTAATACTCCATAAGCTCCAAAGACTAATTACCGAAAAAGTATTGAATTTGAATCAGCTTCTTTACCAAAACCACCTTCAGTTCGGTTGATTCAACCGCTGTAGGCACTGTTGCCAACCTACTACAGGAAAAAATCCCACGCACAGGTCCAAAAAATCCCATATTTTCTCTAAAAATCACTCCACGCGCGGGTCCAAAAAGTCCCATATTCTCTCTAAAAATCCCTCCAACTTATTACTATTATTATTTTTTAATTCGTTAATTTAATCGTTTATTCGAAGAAAAAATATACAATATTTTTGTAAACATGGACAACTTTTCGTGTCGATAGGATAATACCGATAATTTTATTGTATGTAGTTATCTCGTTTCCCAAAAATGGCGACAAAACCAGGCCTTGGGGGTTTAGATGTTTAGATGTTCGGATTTTGGAACAATACACCAATTCAAACATTTATTTTTATTAGTTTTAACATCTGTTTCTGATCTGTTGACTGGTCACTTTCAAGATGTTTGCTGAAGACCATACAATGATACGAAAACAATATACAATTCAAAAAAGTTCAAGACAATTTATCGTAGAGACTTGAGCAGGTACCTGCAGGCTGCACCAGTAGACTTGAACGCACGTCGCCGTCGTATATCAACCGTTTCATCGTACAGCATTATACGATTATACGATTATAGCCGATAAAATTTTACGTTTACAATTAGAAAAATGAGCGCCTTCATAATATAATATCAGGTCAACAAAATCTAACAAAACCAACCAGAAAATGGCAAATTACAAAAAATCCCGCAAAAATAAGGAAAAATCCCTTTATCCCTCGAGAACGTCAAAAATCCCTCGAATCGGGATAAATCCCTCGAATTGGCAACACTGACTGTAGGTATGGGTCAGTTGCACTGGCGTTCTTCTTCTTCTTTTCCTTCTGCTTGTTCCCGTCGGATCCGGGCACAACAAGCACTTTGATGAAGACGTCTTTTCAGTTGTTGGCAGCTCAAGGCCATCGGGCTCGACTAGTGACAGCCGCTCTGTTGGCGCGGCGTCGCAACGGCAGCAGCAGTACGCCGAAGCTCCAACTCCTCCTTTCGCTTTACCACCAACCGACTAAAATAATAGGTTTTGTTTCGGATCGAGTCCTTCTCGTCCGCAGGCCGTCTCTTGAGCCGTCGGAATCGGCACCACTCAACTTTTATTAACTTTAACTGGACCCGCAGCTCAGGCCCTTGACCACCACGAAAACGTAACGGCAAATGCCGCTATTAACGAGGAGTAACCAGCAACAACAAGAATAAATAGATTTATCAAAAGCGGGGCTGCTTAAGGAACTAAAGCCCCCTCTCCCCCGGGAATTTCACTAATTCTAGCAAATTTGGGCTATTCACAAGAGTCTTTTTAAAATTTACCAACAACATTTTGAATGCGTCGACGCTTTAAAATAACGCTTAGGATTAGAAGGGACGGAGATGCTGTGTCCAACCTTTCTTCGGATTAAGATTTGGATCCTGCAAGAATTTTGGAAAACAGTAGAATCCGCTTATAATGACATCGAAGGGAAATGACAAACACGTCATACTAAGCGGGCATCACACAAAGCATATTCTTAGAAAATAAACAACTTTTTATTTTGGTTAGTTATTTATTTAGTTTAATAGTGAGAAAAACTACAAATTGTTTATATTTATTAACAGAAAAAGAAAAAGAACGATGAATTGTAATATCAATATACATAAGAAGGGTCAGAAAAATGAGTGAAAATATTATTATTAATCATTTGGGTCACTATAGCCGGATATGATTTCTTGAGAATTGGTCATAATAAACGATATGTCATTTTAAAGGGAGTCATTATATCCAGACTTTCCTGTAGAGAATTTAATA